GGTATTAAACTATATTTTATCATATACAATTTAATTACCAGTTATATTTTCTTTATAGCAATCTAACTCATGCTATATCAGAGCATAATGTATTCTATAAAAGATTATATTACCTAATATTCTATGATATCATATCAATATAGAATATATTCTATTATAGCTTATAATTTTTACTCGAAAAATTTTCAAATATCATAATATATTAAAGTTTATCATTCTAAAAATAACTATATTCCATCATATAAAATCATATTCTATCTTATTTTATTATGATAAGAAATATTTCATATTTTCAAATTCTTATATTTTATATATTCCAAAGCAGACTAATATATATCTATACATATGTCATATTATTTTTATATTACAATTTATGGGTTTATATCATGCTTTGCGGAATAGAATATATATAAGATCAATTTTTCCTTCATATTAGATTATTTCAAGCATAATCTCGAAAATATAATTATAGGAGTGGAAAGAATAATCACGTGCCATATTTATATATAGGAATTTCCGAGATTAAACCCAAGATATTATGCCCTAATTTTCGGTTTTTTAATTTATCTTTCATATTATTTGAATTATGATAATATTGGTTCCATCAAATTATAATAATGAAGAATAAGAATAAGAACATAGAATCTTATCAATTAGTTAAAATATTTTTTAGTGATATTCAGAAGTATCCCTCCCAATAAAAAATTCTCAGATAATCAATATTGGGTCGTCTTTTCGTTATTGATATCACTATGCAGGTCACAGGTATGCAAGCTGGCCTGCTCTTCAGGCTGGCAATGCTCGTGCCTATGCAAACGGGGTACCACCTCCTGATTGCAGGCTGGCACGTCTAATTTCTGTCTAGTTTCTCATCTAGCCGCGTCCGTCTTGACACCTCGACAGACCTCCAGCCTGGGTTCGCAAGACACAAGGCGGACAAAGACAATTAGGTCTGTTGCTCATGGACTCGGTGGATAGCTGCAGTCGAAGTCACGTTAAGCGAGGAGGTTCTTGTTCTTGCAATCCTGTCACAAAACAAGAAAGCACAGATCGAAATTCATCCCTGGTGCAAGCCTTGCCTGCCACCTGTAGTTTGGGCCAACGATGCGATCGGCAGAAACTCTTCTTCAGATGTTGGCAACATCCCAAACAGCCGACACTCCGATCTCGTGGTGACTCGTCTCCTGGGAAAGGAAGCTGAACAAGAAGCGCGTGGCAGAAATATTGAAGTTTCAGAAAACACGGACCCTTTCAAACTCCTACAGAGGAGCCCCTCATTTTAAGAACCCCAGCCCCATCATGTAAACACGAAAGAATCATATCGAGCTAAATTGCCGCAGGGTTCAGAAAGCCAGTGGGAAGAAGTCTGTGTGTCAAAGATGCTGCGAGACTTTGCCGTTTCATCTTGCGTCTTCAGAGTCCCATCGCGAGTCTCATCGCTGATAGCTGCGAGTGCTGTTCTGCTGCTTACCTATGCCAATGGAGCCTCAATTGCTGCATTTCGAATGCTCTGTCTCATCTTTGCTGACTCCGGCAAAAGGTGGCTCGGCATGTAAGAAGGACTTGACAAAATGCCTGGGCCGCGCGCATCCAGAGTAAAGAAACCGCGAATGTCGATGCCGCATGCTTGCAGCAGCTGTTGCAGCATGGAAGCAGGCAAAGCACCAAGACTCCATCCCCCCAAAATCATGCACGAGCATGCTTCTGCCGGAGAGCCGTGCTGCACACTACATACACATTTGCCTGCAAGATGCACAGCCTCCTTGACAAAGCAGGTCAAGAGTCCACGGAGACCACATCGGCTCAGCAATGCACTTTGCCAGATCGGAAAACGACCCTGCATTCCCCGGCTTCACCTCATCACCCCCCCGGAGAAAGCGAGAAGGAGGCCATGCCCTTCTTCGGAGAATCTCAAGGTTTTGCCTTGGCTGCTGTCAGCCTTGTCAACCCCTTGGAAACGATTCCAGCGTCGGCTTTGCAACTAGCACACTGGAAATGCCCTCTGTGATACCGCGATAGGAGCAATGCTCTACTCACTTGATTTTCAGGCGTGTTCACTTGGCTGGGTGTGTGCCTGGCGGCGTGATCTAACAAGAGGAATGGAGACGGTCTGGCTCGCGGCATGCACAGCTTGGAGAAGACGGAATATCGCTCCGGCTGATGCCAGACATGTGTCTACTGATAAATTGCGCGAGCGGAGACCTCACAACACCAAGATGCCTGCCTGTCACTCATATGCCGGCACAACATGCGGATCCTGCGCCCGTGCCAGTCCGTGCTCGATTTCGTCATTGAGTCAAGACTGCCAGTAAGTCTCGCCAGATCAAAGGCCATCTATGATGACAGCACTTGCGCAACCCCGAGCCCTTCCACCAGCACATAAGCCGAAGTGACCCCAAGTGATCACTGCGACACTGAGTTTACAAGGTCTAGGCAAGAAAGTCGATACTCCACCTATGCCTGGCCGTATCTGATCATCGGCAGCAGCCCCATTCGGCTTATGCAGTGCATCTTCAACAGTTTGTCACCATCATGGCCTGGCCTGCACTAAGCCCCCTGAACTTGAACATGCAAGGTTGGGAGGGCATCTCTCCCACCAGCATTCTTGCTGGGGCGGAAGGGGCAAAGACCGTGCTCATGCCCGGTTTGAGGGACACCCAGCAGGGGTTGGCATTGTTTATGTGTGACTGCTCACAGGGGCTTTGGCACTATTGCAAAAATCTCAGGAACTGTCGGCACACTCTTGGGAACTATCCGCAGCACTGTCCCTGAATAGTTGGAAACCGTTCTGAACCGTCAGAACTGCTTCGATGCGTCCCGGCACACCTCAAAACCTGAACACGCCAAAGAGATCCTGAGATCCGCATTAAGGTTCTGATTGCCACTGCAGGCAGGACACAAATCCCCTTCGAAACGAAACAGAAGCTAGTGTGAAGCACGGGTGGCAAGGATTCAAGGGGGTGCTGAGAACTCTGCAATCTTCCTTGTGCAGGTTTTGTTGCTCTTCTGTAAGGCACCTGACTGGTCCGTTAGCATCACGGACCAATGCAAGGTGACGCAGCCGACCACAACATGTTACTTATACTTTCTTGGGTGTGCTAGGTCTAGATCTCTGCAGTGACAGAAGCAATGTGCGCCGACTGCTTCGAGAAGGAGGCGGCCTGCAAAGGCTGAACATCACGGCACAAGGTCCTCAGGTCCTCAGAGGAGCGTCTTCGCATGCGTCTGCATCAGACCGAGTGTGAGAGGTCCCGAGAGGAGGGTCCGAGACATGAGCGGCATGCCTTTGAAGCCTCGACGCATCTTGTCTGCTACAGAAGGCAAATTAGCCGAGCATTGCCCCAGAGAGTGGGCAAGTCGGGGAAACTAATGGAAAGTGCTGCAAGTGCAGTTTAGGCTGGCCTTGAGTTTGGAAGATTCAGACTCGGAATGTGTAAAACATTTCATCAAACATCACGGGCTTGTCTTACAACCGGCACAATAGCACTGGGACTCTTACAGGGCCCCGGCATGCACCGGCAGAGCGTGTCCTCTTGGAAGACGCTCTCAAAATAGGCTGGCTAGCCACGCAAACCGAACATGTGCTTCGTGGGCTCTTTCACACCATGCAAAACATCCGTGGGCAAGTGCTGAGCTTCGAGGCGGCCTGCCACGAAACACGAGATGACACATCTCCTCATCACAGATTCTCGCTGGAGTGCTGGAGCACCCAATCAGCCGAGGGTCGCGATGCACTCTGTTTGTTTCGATACTTGGCAAACAGGAACTGCAGCGAAGCTTTGGAAAGCCTGGCGTGGGTCACTTGGGCACGGTGGTTGACGGACGCCACCAGAGTTGCAGCCAAGGCTAGCGCAGGGTCACGTCGTTCATCGTCTCGCTCTGCTTCGTCCGGGCAGTTTCTTGCTGCTCCTCCAACGCAGTGGCCTCAGGACTTTGAGAAGGTCAAGAGCAAAGCCTCACAGTCGCAGCCACGAGGCAAGCCACAGGGGCTGCGACGGACGTAAAACTGAAGCACAAGTTTGCACAGTCTTCCGAGCTGGTACAAGCTGTAAGTCTGGGCTGCTGTCTGTCACGAGGTCGGCTGCTCTTGCCCAGTACTCGGTTGGAAAGGAGTTCGATCAGTTGCAATTTGTTTCGATCCGGAGGTCGCGCAAGCTGTCGGCGGTTGGGGCGACCACTGGCTGCATCTTTAGACATACATGACATACATGCGCCTGGTGTTCGCGCCTGCAAAGCTGCAAAGGTACCAACATGATACTGAATAATCTGACGATGCCTTCTAATCCTGTTTAGGCATGAAGGCACTTTGCACGTCACTGCAGACAAGAGTCCAATGATGACATTAACAACTCAGCGTTGGCACGAGAAGAACGACATCAAGCAAGATGCTCTTCTCTTGGCAACGCGGTCGCGAAGACGGAGGCATTGCAGCTTGCTTAGATCTGAACACAGCCACCTCAAACGACCCACTGAGCCGGAGCAGAAAGGCAGGGGCCGAGTCCGCAGCCGAGCGCCTTCGGGCCGGGAGCCTACGCGGTTTAGGGTTTAGGGGTTTAGGGGTTTAGGATTTATGGCTGAACCTTAAAAACGAAACTCTAGGCCCAGGACCTTGACGCTGCACTTTGGCGCTTCTGGTTGCTGCGCCAATCGCGTTTGCAGCGGCATGCTGGTCTCCTTCAATCGTAAAAAGCGTACTTAGTTCATGGAAGTAAGCCCGGTACGGCTACCCACAGGTCTTCGCGATCTTTCTGCGCAGCATCTGGAAAAGGGTGTCGGAAAACATTGCTCCTCAAACGAGCCAAATCAGCAATGTGAACCGTGTGCGAGCTGCGTTGTTGGGATGTGTCAGTTTGCTTTGCTTCCCCAATTTCGGTGAATGCAACAAGCCTGTCTTGAAGCCGACGCTGCCAGGCACGTGTGAGCCGTAGCCTCTCTCTATCTAACGGGCAAAAACCGACCACAAAGACTTCTGGTGGAAAGGCCACCGCGGATTCAGCCCAAACGTGCAAAACATGCCATGTACAGCATCTTGGCCAGTGTGCAGACCTCATGTTACAAGGAACATGGCAGGAAGAAGCACGAATTCCTTCGCGAGCCCCTTTTGAATTGCTCTTCCCGGCTCGCAGTGTCAGCGTCCTGCACGACATCTCGGCTTGCCATACAGAAACGCAACATGGGCAAGTGATGATGAACTTTTGCGTGCAAGGAGCCCAGGAATAGTCGGAGGCCGGTTATGCTCCGCCTCTGCCATCACAAGTGACTCTTGCGGGCGATATTGTCACCAAAGAACACCGGAAGAGGGAGCCACGATGTTCAAGCATGTGCCGTGCTGGAGCTGGTCGCAAGCTAACGCACCTTTTCCAGGAGCTTCTGGACAGGAACCAACAGAACAAGCTCAGCGCTACACAACTATTCACTGCTACCGGCCGAGTCGCACTTGCAATCAGCCACCAAAGTCTCGACCGAGAGGAATGATCTGCTTCAAATTAAGAGGGACCCCTGCAGCCGCCTCACACGCCTTTCAGGAGGTGCGACGGACAGCAGGCTATCAGGCACCCATTCATGATCTATAGCTTCAGCAAATCCTGCACAACTCGTTAGGATCTGAAGCCAGAGCTCACGCAATGAGTATTGCATCAAAACTGATTCAACTTGAGGACCTGAGGACTGCGCCAGGCACAGCGATGCGACGGCACAAGGCGTTTGTGACACGAAGAGGCGCTATGTGGCGCCGTATCAACCGTCCGGCAAGCAGTTTCAGGCTAGTCGACTGTGACAGAGCCCTACGTACAGCAGAGACAGTGTCGACCGATTAAGTGCCGCTTGTGAAAACGCTGTTGTCCTGTCCCCCTGTAGCGGCAAGGCACGCAGCAAGAAGTGTGTCTTTGACTCTTTCGCAATGCTGAGCAGCAACTCTGCACACTGCTCTGGCACCACGTTGCCACCGCTGGCGTCGTCCTTGCCAGGGGTGCATGAACCGGCTTACAACGGCAAATGAGAAAGTTTGGATGGGAAGAGCATTGAAACAGTGGCTCAACAGCTTCCAGCAAGGACTTACTCTGCAGCCATCACTGATGTTACCGCGGAGACGAGCGATTCATAGGTGCACCCGGGGACAGGCGCAATGCGTTCAGTTGTCGGGAAAAAACTCTGTGCTTGAGTCTAATTGGTGCGAGTCGGCAACAGTCCCTGCCGGGGCATGGTGACAGCAAGCGACACGACATCGAAAGCTGCGGATGTCGATCCAAAGCCAGGTGCAAGAAGAGAAGGAAGGGAGCAAGTGCGGCAGAATGCAGTCATGGGTATGGACGTGATGGATCGTCGCGTGTATACCGATTACCGAAAGAACCTGAAGTCGACGAGGCACAATTTTCGGAGAACCGGCACGAGTTGACGACGTAAGCCTACCGGACGTAAGTGAGCGCCAAGAGCTGCACATACATACCAACGACATCTCGAATTGGAATCGCTTTTCGCCCAAAAGGTCCGTCAGGAGAGAGAGCATTGCCATTCGACGCCAGGTCTGAGTTTGACACTTCATGCAGCTGGGCAGCATTGCTATGCATGGCGCAGCGAATCCAGTGATCTGGGAATGCTTACGATGTTTCACGAGTCTGGCTGTCCGTGCCAGGGGTCGCAGGTTAGCCATCACCAGGAGTGGCACGAAATCACATGAGATCGTCTGCCTGGTTAAGCTGGCATATCGCTTTCCGTGACTCCATTCCGACAGCTGCTGGCGCTACCCGCAGGCTTCTGCTGACGACTCTGACTCTTGTTTTCGGAACATTGCATCGCAGCATGCTCCCTGCACTGTTCCGTAAATGCAGGACCTGAGATTCTGCTTAACCTTGAGGCTCGCTCATGCTCGCCCCATTCGTACTTGAATTCGATGGCAGTGGGCCGTGAGCTGCGCGAGCCTGGCCAAAGCTGTAACAAACAAACTGGACCCCTTCGGCCTGCTCAAAACTTTGTGCGGACCCGGCCGCTGCCTGAAGTAGTCGCGCTTCGGATTGGCAGAATACCATGGTGCATGGAGCTCGTGCACCCCTTTCGGGCGACTACACTTCGGACAGCGTTGCAAGGAAGATTGAGTCCTCCTAAGACTCGTCAGAGAAGTTCTTCAGGGCGAGGAGCCTTTGCATTACGTCACTAGTGTGAGTATCAGCTTCCTCTTTTCAGCCCGCTGCCATGACCCTCAGCGAGGCTCAGGCCTGAGTTGAACACCCCAAGCCCTTCGAGGTGCAACCCGTACAGGTTGTGTTGAGTTTCCAAAGCAAAGGCAGCCGCCTGCTCTGCAAGAACAAGGGACATTCGGAACAAATCCCGTTAGGTATTGTGGCTGTCTTCGCAGGGTGGCATTGAGGAGGATCAAACAATTTGCCATACAAAAGTGGAGGGAGACGAAGCGAGCATGTCAGGTCGTGAAGTGGGACAAAACTGAAAAATGCACACAGAGCGATATGCCCGCCGGCAGACGCCTGCAAGCTTACGTGGGACTCGCACAAGCTTGTGGAAGCGACCGGACGTGGGCAACTGCGCGCTTGCAATGAAGCTGCCAAGCTTCAACACATCCCAACACGTTTTGAGGCTCGCGTTAGATGTTCACACGTGCCGAGATCACAGCACTGTTTGACGGGCGAATGCCCGAACCCCCATGCTTGGATTCTGGATTGCTGGGGAGAGGTGTGTGCTGAGACTGCCTCAAACAGGCAACAATGGCAGGCTGGTTCCACTCTGACTCATGGAACTTCGAAGCAGGGACACTCAAGCTACCTGCATGTCAGAACCATGGCAACCAGGGAAAGGGAAGCGCTGTGAAGATGATCCCTGGCCTTGCGTGGCATAGTCATCCTGCCTCAGCGCTGCATGTAAACAGCAGCTGTGCAAGGGCATACTATACCGCTGTCTCAGACTGCTCTTCACGACCATCGATATTGCACTACGTTCCTCTCACTACACCAGGGGAAATGCTGCTTCCTCGGTCGCAAACAGTGCGGCGGTTCCGAAAGTAACTTCAAGCCTGGTGCTGAAAGTCCAATCACAACTCCATTTTGGTGCAACTGCGACTTGAATTTGTGTGGTCAAGCTAAGTTTGTGTTAGTCTCTCATACCAGTCAGGGCGGGATGTGGAAAGGAAGATTCCCTGGTGTACCTGTCTGTAGACGTGCTTCCTCTCTACTTCCATGGCCTGAAGCACCATTCATCGGGGTGACGTTGCCTCTGAGATGTGTGCCAAACGGCTCAACAGTACGCTCCAGAGAACCCGAAGAAGTCAGGACACGGAGAATAAAGCCCATGAGAAACCTCCTGACTGCCCATCACGAATCTTAAGAGTCCTTTGCGACAGACCCTTAACCTTCAACCATGTCATTCCAACCGCCACGCGCTAAGTTCCAAGCTCGGAATGTCGATGCAGGATGCCGGCAACCACGAGGAGAGCGCATACATCCCGCTGCGAGGTAGGCGTCGAGGCCCTTGATTTATGCGCTTGCTGGTGCCTAATACAAGCTCTTGAGACTCGAGCCTCGGCTGCGGACAGAGCAGTGACAGATGGAAGCAAATTCATTTAGACTCTGACGAACTCTTGGCAAGCTGCGTTCGTGTCGTCTCGAAAAAAGATAGCCAGCCCGTTCCAGGCCATTGGTCTTATACAACGAAGCATCCATGTAACGTTCACTGAAAGCAGTCTTTCCAATTGATCGAACACGGGTACTGCTCACTTTTAAAACCTCCTCATGTGGAAACGTCCAAGATATGCTTTTGGAGTGAGACACGATCCGCCACATATAACTGGAATCACGCGATGCACTCGCTCGGACGATCACTCTATTGAAAGGGCAACCACATCGAACTCATCTCTTCGATCCTGTATGTGCACCGGGCACCGGGCACGTGTTTAATATGTAGGACGGTAATGACGCTCTCTCCACCTGTTCAGGAAGTTACCTTGACCAGAAATGGGCCACCTGCCTACACATAAGTGATGGGAGGGCGGGCGAAAAACCATGGAACCATTGCGAAAGAGGCTCCCACACACCACTCGCACTCTGAATGATAAATCGCCGACACAGACGCGTTGTGAGACAGTCATGCACCCTCAAAGTTAGCTTTGTCACATCATCCTCCATCCAATGTTCGTGGACTGTCCGTCAACTTCGAAGCAATTAACCAAGCAAATACAAGAGGAGTTGCCTGTCACTGAGAAGAAGCTTTGCAAGTAAGACCCAATGTGCCGAGGGCAGATTTCGCCGTCGCGTTTCGGGTCCAGGGGTCTTTGGAGAACTTGACGGGTCTGGTCGAGCGCTCGGCACTGAAGCAGAAACCTTGCTAAAACAGCTTCTTCTGCTGAACAAGTGGGGAACCCGTGTGCGGCCTTCGCTTCTGTAACTCACATTCCGAGCGCTCCTCACAACAAGCCGTGCACCTAGCTGCTAGCGTCTTCAATTAGGGTTAAGGGTTTCAGAGATTTTATGCACGATGCCGCATCATGTCTTTTGCTTGAAGATTTTCTGCAGGCCCCAGACGGAAGAATGTTGCACAACGACAATCAAGGAGATAACCTCTCTGCAACAACCAGCACACGTAACGAATGATCTCTGAAGCCATGAAGCCTCCTCGGAAACATCTACGGGATCCTTCTTTTTTGGTTTCGCTAACAGCCCTAGCCGCAGGGGTCTCGGTAAAGCCCAGGGGCATGGGTTCCGTTTGGAAGCCCATCCCGCGATTGTTCGACGGAGTTGAAGAACAGCTGTGCGCATTTCGACCGCTGTCTTCCAAGTGTTGATTCAATGTCAGGATTAATTATCAAAGATTTCGGGTTCAGACCTCAAGTCATTCAGGTTAGGGCTTCTCCTCCTACGTAGCGATCTAGGCGTCAAGATGGCTGAGGGAAGCCTGGGAAGGTTTGTAATTTACGTGCATCCGAACGCTAAGGATTTTCGGGGCTTAGGGATCCATTCATCCGAGTGCTCCCATCGCTCGGATCGCCTCGTCTCAGCCTGCATGGAACCGACTTGGGAGCGATTCAGGGTCAGCTTCAGAAAAGTCTGGGCCCCTTTGTAAGGATCTTTGCAACCAAGGCTTCGGTACTTTTAAGCCCAGCAAGTGGTATTTCGGGTCCAGGGCTTTCAAGATGAATCCTATCTGAAAACCCTCAACCTCAAACCGGGAGATGGATCGGTTGGGCCGTGGGACATGGTGTCATCATCATAGGGTGCAGGGATTGATTGAGAGGGTTCCAAGCATTTGCGGCGACAAGTTCTGCGCTTTGCATGCTGGCAGGGGGCAGAGTGTTTGAGTTTGGACCCGTGACGGTGGCTCAGCACACTGCCACTTTCAAGAGATAGCGCAGGAGTCTCCAATTCGTTCAATCCAATGTCCTGTCCAAGTTGAATGTTGCAGCATCTGTGCCTCCCCACTTAGATCAAGAGATCCTAGCCACCTGCTGTCAACATGATCCGCAATAGGTTGACTCCAGGCCCAACGACCCCAACCCTGTGCGCGTGAGGCCCGGACAATTCCGGAGCTCTGCATCACGTCGCCAAAACGTCCATTGCCGCAACTTGCAGATCTGCCTCGGACTGACTGGTTTCGGGTATGGGCAGGTTCGTGGTTTAGGGTTGAGGGTTGGGGATTATGGTGTAGCCTAGCCCCTAAACCACAACAAGCACTCAACCTCACCCTCACTTCCGTCACTTGTCTTCGTTCTCTGCTGCTCGTGAGGCGATGTCTTGCTTCCACAATCAAAGCATTGTAATGTAGGAGCCTCAATAATTACAACAGGCCCAATATACTATAATTATAATAAGGAACCACCAAAATAGTATAGGTAATTATTTCGCCGCCTACATTAACATTCATGTGGCGCGCATAGACTTGTAGATGACCAGCACAAAAAGTGTATGACATGACATCACAGGAACTGTGCCAGACACGGTATCATTCCAGGAGTTGGAATCTTCTTTTCCGCAACGACACTGCGAAGCACTTATACACCCAAGAAACCCTGAGAATGGGAACCGTGCATAGTGCCCTCACATGGGCCTCAGAGCGACGCTTAGCCGGATTAGTTCACCCACTTGTATACTCCGATCAACCACCCTAAAAAAATACGCCATACGCTACGTATTCGAGTATGGGTCGATCCGAGATTAGGGATTCCCTTCTCTAACCCTCAAACATTAATCCCTGAACCATCAGAAACCTTAAACCGAAAACCACCTTCTAAGGCCCGAAGTGCTCAAACTTACAGAAAACCTTCAAACCACATCAGAAGAACCCTAAGCCCTGCACCTTCAACCCTAAATCCTTTAACCATAAATAACCGCCTAAACCCTGCAAGCCCCACACCTCACTCCCTGGCCCTAAACCCTTTACATGCCAAAAACCCCGCACTGGACCATGAACCCTACACCCCAAATCCTAAACCTGAAACCCCCCAAACCCTAAACCGTAACTGCTGCAGCTCAGGTTCCTGTGCGAAGGCCTTTGAGTTCCGATAGAAGTCCTAAGCGCGCTCTGGTCGGTGTGACAGGTACTACAAAGGCCTGATAATCAGAATAGGCTTGCGGTTCTGGGTTATATTATACTAAATTATTTCTACATTAGACTTAGAACCCCCCCCAAGCTAGAATGTTATACTACGACAGATTTTAGGAACCCTGAAGATAGTAGTGGTAATTATTTAGGCCCCCTATCTCAGGGATGAGGATCGTTGGGCTTCCTGGCCGCATTCTGGGCTCAGGGACGTAGTGATGAGGCTGAATAACTAGGTTGTAAAGCTGAACTTTCAAGGTTTCAAGAAGCATCGAGCTCGAGGGTTAAGGGTGTTCGGGTTTAGGTTCCCAGGCCTGAGGGCCCTCACTCTGACCCGTTAAGCCCGGAGCCGTGAAGAAAGCCTTCGCTTTCGGGTTTTACGGTTTAGCCTGGGCTGGGGTTTTGGTTTGAGGCCTTGCCCAGAATGTCGAATCCGTATGGCTTTCTCAGCGCCGCAGCTAGTCAGACAAAATCCACCCCAGCACGCTCCATTCTAAAGAGAAGACCCAAACCCTAAGACCCTAAACCCCGGAGCCTTTGAGGCGAGCAGCTCGGAATAAAAGCCCTAAGTTTGGGATATCCCATAATCCCCATGTCAAACAAAGCAATAAGGTAGTGATATCCCACCCAAGACTAGATCATGGTTGGGATAGCATTTTGCACTTCAATTTCTATTCCTTACTCTCGGATCCCGGGTGTCCAGGGCGAAAAAAGTTATAAATTTTTGATTTTTTTTATGTTGTATGGATCCGGGGAATGATCAAACATGACAA